ACGTGTTGTCAGACTTAAGTTAAGTGAACTATGGTTAAGTCTTCATTTATTTCACTGCGGCTTGTTGATCTCTCTACACCTGCTTCTTTGACTCTGTGCGCACGCCTGTTCTTTACTTAAACTCATTGCTCTAGATGTATTGACATAGTCTCTTGTCACTTTGAGTTGGTGGCTAATTATTAGAATAAATCAAGCTACAAACAATCTATTTGTTGTTTCCCGGTGCATGTTCAAAGAAGCTTTCAAATCAGTACAAACGTTTTGAAATCCCTGGGGCAGTTCTACACCTGTTCTCTTAATCAAAAAAAAAAAAAAAAATCAGTTACATTTTCTAGGCTTTCTCGCTTGGTACAAAATGATTAGAATCATATTGCGTGTTTTGTCAACGTAGAGTTTAATCCTGCAATGTTCTATGGCAGCCAATGAAGCTTTTCAGGCCGTCACGAAAATTTCCACCGAAGGTGAAACAGATACAGGGGTTAAGAGCAGAGTTAGCGTGAGCCATAACTTTGGCTATAAAGCTGTATTGTAAGACGCCACACGACAATCTAGTGGTGTTGTCCCATGAAAAGACAGTCAGAAAGGTTAAAACAGTCACTGGACCCCAGCATAAAAAGAACCCTGAAACAATAGCTATCACCATCTTCAGAACTTTGTTGTGCCTTTTCAAGCGTTGCTGCTTAGCGATGGCCGATTGCTCACCTGGAATCTTCTCCAACTTGAGCTTGAATAAGATTATACCGTAGAGTATAGTCATCAGGGCGAAAGAGAGAGCAAGGAAAAGCAACGAGAAAGCTTGAAGATGTTTTTCTTTAAGAAAGTTTTCGGTGAATCGTAGGACACATGTCCATTTCCCTTCGTGTTCAACGAGTTTGAAGGCGATTAGGTATGGACAGAGAACAATTACTCCAAAAATCCAAGTGGCGAGAATTAGGAAGGGGCAGATCTTACAACTGATGAACGGACGACGAAGCGGGAATACCACAGCTCCAAATCGATCCACTGCTATCAGAAGCAGGCTCTCAACAGACACCACACAAGATAGATATTTTAAAAAGGGAACCACCTTACACAGGGTTTGGCCGAGCAGACCGTCGCTAATAACGAGTGACAACTCGACGAAGTCCATCGGGAGAACAAAGATTGAAAGCAGAATATCGGACAAGGCCATGTTTAGGATGAAGTAGTTGATTTTCCTTCGCATGGTTTTCTTCTTGTAGATAATAATTCCGATCAAGGAATTCCCGGTTAGTGAAACGACAATAATCAAGCAGTAAGCAAACGTTTTTCCGTTTTTTTCTGTCGTGATGTTGCCCGGACTGGAGCAGTCTGATGCCTGAGTCCCATTCATTGTTGTGTTAAACTTTGCCGACATTGCGGGTATTGCTTTTACAACAAAACTGGATTATTCCCCAACTGGCTTGCTTTACTTAAAAGCGTGGATCTAATTAGATGTGTTAAATTAAGTCCATTAACTCAAAATCTTTTGACTCTTTCAGCTGGTAGCAAAATAGAAAGCCGGAAAAAGGATGTCTATTTAAGTATTCTTTGAAGCATGCTGTTAACGTTGGTTAAAAGTTAATTCATTTTGCGGGGGCACCTAATGATGGTTTTCCCTCAAATGCTGTTTTGGGCCATCTGCTGTGCTTCTTTGTTAATTTTAGGTTGCACTATACCATTTTATCTGTTCCACCACTCTAGGGAAACTTCAGCCTTCTCGAATTCGGCTAGGGCTTTTTTGTCTATTTCCTGAAAACTTTAGGTCTGATATTGCCTTTCCGAAAATCTTAACTAACTTTCTTTTACCCGACAATGACAACAGGCATTAAACATCTCGAATCAAGAAAGTTCGAAGGGACAATTCTCTTAAGAAAATCGGAGAGGATTAAAGGCCTTGCAAACAGATAATTTACCGAGGATAAAAAGCAAAGATTCTGCATTTTGCATTACTGTTTCTTGGCCAATATTTTGCAAAGATTTCAGGAGCCTGAGATATAATTTTTGAAATATCTGCCTCAAGGCAGCTGCGGGAATAGGCAGACCTGCAATATTGCAGAAGGAGGTAAAAGCGCTCCACAATGCCCAAAGTGTTAATTTGATCAGTTCAGGACGTCAATTGACCAGATGGGCTTATGAATTGCCTTCAAGGAGAGACGAAAATGGCAAGAGAAGAAACCAGTATTAGTTGCCGTATGATGTAAAATAATTTAACCCATTTGAGAGCCTGCTCAAATGTTTCAAYAGATTATTGTGATTAGGCCATCTGTGGGTGATTGGGAAAAACAAAAGCAGCAGGTGTGTTTATTTACACGACGATTATTTCCTTTTGATTATACACACTGTTTCATTCGAAGTCATCATTTACAAACTGCAACTGGTGACCTCAAGCAATGACCCAGAGCATTTTTTTCTAGCTAAATTGATGAACGAGAGGTTGTTGTTTTCAACGTTATAAACAGAGCCAAATAAAAGTAGCAGGTGTGACAAGGAAGTTGAATTAGCTTCCGCTGCGAAATCAATTAAGTGTGTTAATCTGTGTAGCTTTACATGTTGATGATGCAGCAAGGCAGCGTTAATTGGACAGCTGAAAGTGACCACACGGCTTGAGTTACAATGCCATGCAATAATTGCTGATTAGCCAGAAAGCTACATCAGATTCAGACTCAAAATCATTCTTATTACTGTGCGACATAAATAACGCAGCATCAAAGAGTCAGCAAAGCAGATTATGGATAGCCTGTAAAACAAAATAACCCGTTTTAACTATGCCAGCAGTATGATGGAAAACTGGAACATGATGGTAAATGAAACTGAATCACAAAACTGCTACAGTCCTGGTTATCTCATAGCAGCAGCAAAAATAGGAAAAACCTTTGCTTGCTGCTTGTTTTTTGTGGTTTCGCTTGCCGGCAATACTTTGATCGCAATAATTATCTACAAGACGAAAACAATGC